CTAAATATAAATGATAATTAGGTAATGTATACATGTAAAGCTACTAATGTTGTACAAACTACACCATTAACATGTCAACTTGTACAATTCAATGTCTACTGTAAGTATATCTTATATAGGGAATCTAAATATAAATGATAATTAGCTAATGTATACATGTAAAGCTACTAATGTTGTACAAACTACACCATTAATATGTCAACTTGGACCATTCAATATCTACTGTAAGTATATTATATATATATGAAATCAAAATAATAATGATAATCAAGTAAAGTATGCATATTATAATACATATTTTTACATATACATATTAAGTATATGATTATTTCGCATAATTTCAGAACTAATTTCATTTCCAAAGTATTTTTATGAAACAAAAATGATGGCATATATTCTATATTCACAAGGAAGCTTTGCAAATTTTAACTTTGATAGACATGCACAATTAAATCCAAATTTTATTTTACAGTTCCAGCTGAGTCTGTGACATTATCTGGCATAACCAATCCTGTGAAGGAAGGTGAAACTAAAACACTGACTTGTACCACATCAACCAGTAATCCAGCATCTCAGATATCATGGTTAAAAGATAACAATGTATGGACTGCTAATACATATGAATCTATTACATCTAATGTTACAAGAGATGGAGATTATAATGGTAAAATAAGTGAACAACAGATGACAATATCCATACAAGCAGAACATAACAGTAAATCATATCATTGTCAATCAAGTCATATAGACTTTACTGGTCACGTGATTTCTACTGTCATTCATCTTACTGTGTATTGTAAGTAATTTACTCATAATGGTCACATTTCTTACATTTACAATATTGCCTTTTTATGTACAATTGTGGAACTATATTTTCATCGTTACGAATATTGTGTTGCAGAACCTACAAATAATACAAATGTAATTTTGGAAATATATTGGATGAAAATTTCAAATGTTTATTACATAGTTATTTAAAGACGCATTTGTACTCGCATTTACGAATTCAGAAGATGTATGTACGAACGGCCTTTGGGACCAAGTTTTATGTTACACGTGTTTATATACTTGAATGTATATATGCTAGCCACAAATAACAGTTATCAAAGCCATTATATTTTACGTTATGCTAGTTAGTGGAAAATAGATTAAACTGAGTGTGGTTTCTAAGCAAACAAACTATCGCGATTATTAATTATAAATCAACTACGGCTTAGTATAATTGCACTGTAATTGTGCTGAAATAAGATCACAATTTTATACAATCACAATAATGCGTTTTTTTTCGTTAAAATGAACTACTTGCTGGTTATTGGATATTTATACATTATATCATAGGAGTTTGGTAATACGTTTTTAACATATGTTATCTTCTTTAATTGTTCGTGATGTCGTCAAAATGAAGTTGAAATTGATAGCAATAGTTGAATGCTATTTTCCAGATAAACCATATTTTGTGAACGTATCAAAGAATCAGCGATTCTATGCAAGCAAAGGGAGCGTAGCAGAACTACGATGTGAGATTGAAAGCAACCCACTTTCTTCGGTAATATGGTATGGTCCGAATAATCAACCAATAAATATTGACAATAGAATCAGCATCAACACAGTGTCACGTGGAACCTTATATGAAAGCATATTGACAATACAGAATACAATGCTAAGTGACTATGGTAATTATTCCTGTTTTGCAGAAAACGATATTGGCAACACAACCTTTATTGTCACGTTCAAAGATAAAAGTAAGTATTGTCATTTACATTTAGACTAAAAATACCTGCCAACCTATGTGGAAACAGCAATCGTTATAATTGCTAATCAAATAAAAACAATGTAAATGTTACAGTGTTAATATTAAACTATGCAGCATGTGTAATTTACCGTTTGGGTTTGTTCACATTAATGATAATATTACTGGATTAATCTATGTAGATAACTCCATATTTACTATTCGCTAATTCCTTTGTGTTTATAATTTGAACTCACAAATAAAACTGGCAATTTACATATAGGTGTTCCAGATGCACCAAAGTCCGTTGTACCAATAACACGATTCTATGACAGTCTGGTTGTCACTATAATTCCCGGATATGACGGTGGAGATGCAGATACAACATATTTTATACAATATCGTACCCGGAGAAATGCAACCTTCATCGAATTGAACGCTGATAACTCAGAGACAACAAATATCACGATAGAAATACTTGAATTATATCCGTCAACACTATATGAATGTAGAGCATATGCTGCGAACGCAATTGGTTTAGGACCATATAGTAATGCTATTATAATAAGAACATTGGGTAAGTTTGACGTAAACAGTGTAATGCTAACCCTGAATTGTGGAAATCGGCGTAGAAAATGATCGACATATAATCTTAAAACAGTTGAGAATCTTAATGTATTGGGCAAGGTTTGGATGGGTAATATTAATATTATTTAACGCTATCATTATCCTTATGCAGTTTTAGCTATTTTTAATAGTTATTTAGTACTACGATTACCACATATTATCTTCTATATATGCAGTTTTTAGGGATTGTATCAATATGAAAAACTGCAACGTTACGTTCAGGGGGCGTAAGGGTATCATAAAACAGACCATGTAACTCGCATTATTCCATTGAGATACACTGAGCGGTAACGATTTAAACCTTTGCTTTGAATGACGTAAACCACAATAACTACATAAATAATAAAATGATTGTTACGTATTAACATTGTATGTACAAGCCTTGTATTTACATCAAACTAATATCGCAACTGTTATTATTTTTAGATGAGCCAATCGTAGAACTGGATCATGATACTACTACATTGAGCTGGACACGTCACGAGAACGAGACATACACATGTGTGAAAATAGAAACACGTCACGTGGATGTCACATGGGATGTTATAGTGAAATGCATCGATAGAAATATACTCGAATACAAAGTAAATGATACAAATAGGGAATACAGAATTACATATTGCACTGCAGACGGTTTTTGTGAAAGTCGAGATTTCTCTGCATTTACAAGAAGAACCAGTAATGGTAATATTTTCCAATTCAGCTAAATTATATATGCATCATTATAATCTATCGAATTGCACCTATATAACCCAACGTTCAGCAAAATTATTTAATGATGGCTTTCATTCACTAAATTAATAACCCTTTTCAGTGCAGTGAGTGTTGGTAACACGAGACCGAATATGCGACACACAAAAGTATGAGTGATATTATGTACGCTGTCATTACTATAAATGGAGATAGTGTGAGCTCGTCCTTATTTTTCGGGTCATTTGATTTCATGGTAATTATTAATTAAAATGTAACGTGGGCCTGATATTACCTTAAGAAATGATTTACTATTGTTATAATCTGCATAGATTGCAGACTATTGGAGAATACATAGATACATTATCACTCACGTGTGACGTCACACTGTGGCGATGTGCTTTTCATTACCTATTAGGATATGTGTGATATTTGTTACACAAGTATACTCAGTGTTTACACTGTCAAATTTTCCGCTCCTGTACACAAGTTAGAAATTTGTTTAATATTCACAAAATGTTTGGTATACAACATAACAGATGCATGTACCGGTTAAATCCATCGTATTGCAAAAAATCTTGTTTGCTTCTTTATTTGTTCTCTCCTTGTA